CCGAGTCGATCACTGGCCCAAGTCGACTGGTCTGCCACAACAGCTGCGAAACCTGTCAAACAATCTACGAAAAGAATCCGCCAAAAAACCACGAAACCTAAAAAACATCACCGAATGTTTCATCCAGCATGAAGGCTCGATGCTTTCCTGCCATTTGCTTCAGCCGCCTGGAAAAAGAAACAAATATGTCCATTAGCGATGGATTCTCTTTAAAACCAACGGGGGTAAATAACAAAATATTCTTATAAGCAAATGGAAGTTCCTTGGTGACCTCGCCACGAATCCGCCAAAGCTCGTCTGCGGCGCCCGCTTTGAGCAACACCTGCGGGCAGCCGTGAGGGTCGGTACGCCAAGGCAAAGCCGCTGGAGCAAGCTGGGAAGCTCTATGGGTAAGTAAAAACAGGAGCAAAGTCACGAAATCCTCCCGCCTGTGGATTTCTGTGAGAATCTACAAGTTGCATACCTGGACCTTCCAACATGAAAAAAATAACGCCGTTTCCAAAAAGAGCAATAAGTTTGGCCGGTTGCTGGAAAAAAAACACGCTCTTTCGGAGCAGATTACTTGTCATTCGGACCTATGTTCACCCATGAGCCCTAGTCCTTGGGCAAGCCTCTAAGAAGGAACCGAAGCATTCAGGGAACCAAGCCCACTGGGACGAAGATGCTGCTCCAAAGGAAGAATTTGTCTACCCAAACAACAATCATCCAACGGCCAGGCGCAAACTCATGGTCGAACAAAAGGCCCCAACTCAAGTTCTTTGTGCATCTTCAAGATCCGGGCCAACTGTTGGACCAAAGCTCGTGTTCAGCATCAAAAAGTGGGTGGGAAAGCATGAATCTTCTTTTGTGGCCCTGTTGTGTGGAGGCACAAGGGTCCAGGAACCTTCAGAACCAGTCACCTTGGCGAATATGGCAGAACTCCAAGGGCACAAGAGACACACCGGTTGTTGGACGAACAAATGCGCGCAAAACATATGCACCCGTAATTTGGCGGTGCACATGCCAAAAGCTGCCCACTTTCGCGTCTAACCTTATTTTTGGAAGCCTCTTAACATCTCTGAATGTTCCTGCTGGGAAATGGGACACCCACCACGACCACCACCACCGTCGTCATCATCATCATCATGATCATGTGACCCTGACCAGAACATGATCATCATCAACATCATCATAACCATCATCATCACCATCATCATCATCAACATCATCATCATCATCATCATCATCATCATCATCATCATCATCATCATCATCATCATCATCATCATCATCATCATCATCGTAACCATCATCACCATCATCACCATCATCATCATCATCATCGTCATCATCGTAACCATCATCATCGCAACCACAAATCTGGGTGAATTCTAATATTTCACCAGCCTGAAGTAAGGTGGTTGGGGGGCCCATTCCCCACATAAACCACCATTTGGGGTGAATTCGGTCGTGTGAGGTCCTTCTAATTCACCCAGACAAACAGGAGGGGTTACGCAGGTTTTGGTCCATGTTTCCACTTACCAGGGTTCCAGTTTGGTACCTTTTTTTTGAGCCACAGCCATATATAAATATCAAAATACCGCACCCCCAATTCCTGCGGGTTGTGTCCCCTTTACGCGGTAAAAACGGGCATCCCAACCTCCATGATCTCCAGGCGCCCTCGCTTGGCCGCCAGGTGCAAGGGATAGGCGCCCACCTCTCTTTGCGGATACCAATGGGGTTGCTCGAAAGGGAGGGCTTGTGGGAGAAACCCACCGCCAACCACGTTCGCCCGCTTTTCCGGAAAAAAAAACAAGAAAAAAGAAGAAACAAAAGAAGAAACAAACAGGAAGAAAAACAAAAGCAAACATGTTCCACCAATTGACCTCTGATTAACTTCAAGTGGGAGGGCCTTTGCATCCGGGAACGAACAAACATATCATGTTCCACTAATTGACCTCTGATTCACCTCAAGTGGGGGGAGGATGAACCCAAGAGTGGTCATTTTTTGAGCGCGCAAAGCGACAACAAACTCAGTCGCTTTGATGCGGCAAAGCCCCAAACTCACATGGCCACGAACAAAGGCCAATTTGGGATGGATGTGGAAGGAACAAAACAAAAAAGAAAACAAGAGAGAGCATTTTTAGATTCAAACCAACCAGTTTGAAGGGTTGTGCATAATATCAATATAATACAACTTGTGACGTGGCGAGTGCGGCATGTCAGTTCTTTTTGAGTGGTGGAGGGTTAATGCTGGATTGACCGCTTCCAAAATGAAAGATCCCCGCTCAACCCGGCTTCAAACCCCTTCCAAATCCATGGACGTTTCATCCCGACCAAGTATTGATAGGCAAACTAAAAGATGGGAGCTAGGGCAACCCTCAGGTTTTAGTCTGTTCCCTTCAATCTTTTTGAGCGGCACCCAGATCAACATCGCTTTTGGCATTGGTCCGATCTCAGCAATTCGTTTTCCGGCCTGCGTAAAGCCAACTCCAAAGGCTCCGGTGTCTGCAGCTGCGTTGGGATTCGCACCTCGGAGCCGAGCGTCACCAGGGCCCATGGACTTGTTTCTTGCATTCATGTTGGCTGTCCTAGGTCCTCCAGCAGACTTTGGTTAGAACAAGTTGGTCCCCGATGTTTTTCTGGTTCGTCTATTTTAGTAGGGGAACCCTCCCCCAAAAAAGGGTGAAGGGGCACTGCTGGGACCTAGTATCAATGGCTGGTCAAAATGATGGGTTGGCCGATCCGATTTGTCCATAATCTCAGGGAAGCCGCTATAAAGGGGACCACACGCTTGCCTGGGCCAAGGCAAGGACCAAGGATTTCCCCCGAACAGCCCAGTCAATGCAGGGTTGTCACTATCAAACCACTGAGAACAACATGGGATACAAAAATACGAGTGCATAACAAAAGGGAGTATGCACGATGTTCCCTTAGGGGTGGTGGTTTGTGGGTGGTGGAAACCCTCTTCGGTTTTCTAACCTGGACAACGAACCTGTGAACCATGGTTTAAGTGCAGCTGATGTTGATCTCATCTCAAGCCCCAAAACATACGACCTGGACGGCACGAGATCAATCACGCAGTTCCTAGGGATGCTGTATCAACACATCCTAACATGCACCTGCCTTGTTTTTTGTAAGGGTGGCGGGGCTAAGCATGCAGTTCAGAGTCACGCGGAAAGCTGTGAAATGCTGCCAAATCTATAAAACAACTCCCAACATCTGGAAATGTTGGACAAGCGACTAAATAGATTTCATTACAGTCAGCTCCCGTGTCATCCTGCAAAGAAGCCAACGTCTATCTACCTATACGGAGGTTTCATTCATCTGTGCTTCCAGTCCAGTGGAAACACTCCTTGAGCTGCCTTCCAATATGGCCACTAGGCCTATGAACTTTATCTAGGGACCCTTTGGTGGACATCATGTAGGTTGGGATTCACGGTGGGTTTCCCCACAGAATGTAATAGCCACACTTCCTTATAACGACCCCGGGACGGTCTATCTTTCCCGCCAGCAACCTAATGTTGGGCACCATCATTCATAGCTCGCTCAACGAAGACGACGCCTGCGCAATGTGACTTCATGTTCACCAAGCATCTTGGAAGGGCGTTCCCTATCGAAGATTTACGTACTTCCATTTGGTTAAGACCCCTGGAAAAATACAAAAATATTCCCAGTAGTGATAGATTCCCTTTACCAACAGGGGAAAATAACACATATTCTTAAGCAAATGGAAGCGTAGCCATCTTGACATTGGCATCCCGCTGCACCCGTCACACCTTTTGTGACCCGGCGTTCAGTTCAAATCGGGGGATCAAAGGCGACAGGAGGCCGCCATGCCTGGGGCAAGGAGAGGAAGGTGTCGAATGAGAATGACGAAGAAACAAAGGATTTCCAAACCCCGCACCCCCAAAACCTTATACTTTGAACCCGTCGACCTAAGGCATTCACCTAAACCCGCTGGCAAAATGCATTCCAAACGCTGAGCGTGGGGATCCTGAAGACGTTTCAGCCCTTGACACTGGTGAATAGACCCTGAACGCGCATCACCGAGACAGGACCGGCCTTGATCGTGGCCAGCTCATTTCTTCAGCGCGCAGCTCTCAGCTCCTTTTCGATGTGCATGGCGATTCGGGCCCAGGGCACGCACCGTCGGAAGGAGACGTGCCTCGTGACCCGAGCCCCGAGCCCCGAGCGACGCGATGGGGCTGACTCTGGGCTGCTGAGGTGGGGCTGAAGCGTTCACTCTCCATACTTGGTGCTTGACGGGCGTTCAAAGATCTGATAGATCACCGGACTTCCAGAGCCAGGATACCAAACATCGCCTCTTGTCCAATCTAAACCACCAATCAAAGGGAAGCTGAATAACTGTGGGCCACATAGGGTCTTTAGAACAAAAAAAACATGTCGACATGGCTGTGGGTCCAAACCAATGGTACCGTTTTGGGGTAGGTGCACCAGCCATTTTAGAACCTATATTAGTTGGGATTGGGATGTTCACTGGGGGTACGATTCGTTTTTTGACCCATGGCCACATGAACTTTCCTGTGCAAAAACGCCAGGGGAGCCCGCCGAGACTTGAGCAAGCCCCGGCCTCTCATCAGGCGCGATGGAACTGACCTCTTGCAGCCGTAGGACCCGATGTTTTCAGGGAGTCCGGTGCTGGGTCTCCTCAAATATCCTTGGTTGACGTTGGAAGGGGAGCGACAATTCTCCAATTTTAGCAGTTAAGTGGTTGGATTTCAACCACTAAACCACAATAAGATCAAAAATGGAAAAAAAACCCAACAACAACCATGTATCATCCCAAGGGACTGAAGTCTTCCAGAGGTACGGCCGTCCCTCTTTTACAACGACGCCTGGCAAAACCAGCGAAGGTCAGGCAAGTCCTTGCGACGGCACTGCTGCCAAAGAAAGTGGGTGCGTCCCTCGGAAAGCTTTGATCAGCTGTTGGGAAATAGTGTCTAGTTGCAGCCGCAGGCAGAAAAAGGCAACCACGTGCCTTCGCGCCCATCTCCTGGTCAATCGCCTTGTTCTCCGCACATAGTTCCGTGACATTCCTGAGACTTGCTCCGGACAGGGATGGGTACATGGCAAGCATCTGAAATGAGAAAGCTCTTCGCCGGAATCGAATTTGGGTCTAGTCCTCGCCCCGCCCCCTCCCCGTCAGGTGGCAATCGGAGGTCTCGCGGTCGTGGGCGTTTCTGCGTTGAACCTCCAACGCAGCGGCGGGACGAACGCTTATATGGAAGCCGGCGCTATTTGGCGGTGTGTTTCGGTCACGGATCGAGACGGCCAACACGAATCACCTGACGAAGTCCATGCATCAAATTGCTTCAGCTGGTTGATTTTACAGGGCCGCGGGCTCTACTCCAAATGTTTTTTTTTTTTTTTTTTTTAAACGGGTGCCTTCAAAATCCTTCCAAAGAAGCACCGCCAGGTAGAACACGCAAATTGTGGCCCTGGAATTTGGGGCACTTAGCCTTGGCTCCCAGAATTCATGTTGGCCAACGCACCATCCTTCTTTCGATCCGGCCTTCTCTAACTCAACCCAGGATGGCCGCATGTCCAAAGAACCAACACACGAGAGTGCATTGAGCAACCGTCAGACATGCGGACACCGGGGCCGTCGTCAAGGAAACCAGGTCGGGTTGCTCGCGACTCGCGCTAGGGCACAGCACTCTGTGCGAGCCCGGGGCGACGGGGAACTTCGAGCTAATCGATGGCGACCAATGCCAGTTGTGCAGGTCTTCTATTGGCAGCGTGCCATTTTACAGTATTGCCAGCTATTAATACAAGGCGAGCTTTCGGCTTCAGGCGAGCTTTCGGCTCGCCTCTTGAAAAATCCAAGGCGAGGCCATCCTCACAGCAGGCGCCTCTCGGCGCCGGCGCGTTTCCTTGCGCTTCGGATGATCGCCAGCACCAGAGCCGCAACTGGCGCCCCGACGGCGAGCCAAAGTCCAAGTTGGTTGCTCACGGATGCCTCGGGCTCCAGTTCCGGCACCGCCTCCGACCAAACTTGGATGGCGTGGAGCATGGCCGCCTCGCACGCGCATCGCCACGCGTGGCAGGCCGGAACATGAGCGCAACATATGGGGGTGTCCTGTTTTAGGGGAAGCCCGCAAGCTGGTTGGTTTCCTTTGGGTTCTTAAAAGACATGGGCTACCCCAAAACAAGACACATTTAGAGTTCAACATGGCTTTGTCTCAAAATTGGGCAGCCCCGAAATGATGGGGGCTTCCTGTTGGTCTCCCTTTCCAACGTTGAAGGGGTTCTCCAAACGACGACATGTCCACGCCGTGGTGATGGAAACATTTGAGGCGCCAATTGAACTCCAAGCATTTCGAGGACTTCCTCCCAACAGCTCGGGTTGAACCTTGGGACCCAAAGAACTTGGGTCGATGATGGTGGGTGGTGGGTGGTGGGTGGTGCAAGCTCAAAGGGACCAAGAGATGGACCTTAGGCTCGCACAAAAACATGGCCAAGTATCCTGGGCTGCCCGTTTTCGGATCCCCCGCTAAAAGTGACTAACGTTTAGTGGGTCAAATGGAAACTACCACTAAACACTAAAAGGCTGAAAGGCTAAGGGGATGGCTGGGAGCCACCAAGTATCCCCAACAGCCCCGGAGGAACCCTTCCGGAACCCTCCCTGATAGCTGCCCCAAACTACACCGCGAGGTAGCCTTCACCCGGACTTCAAGCACCAAACTTGAGGACCACAACGTTAGATCGGTGTTGCGAAAAGGAAACCAACTGAAATCCAATCATTTGGAGTTCAATTCCTTCGGGCTTCTCCCAAAGAATCTGCGAGAATTAGAATTCACTATCCTAAGTAAACAGGATCCGAAAGAAAAAAGACATGGGTTTTGAGTTACACACCGTTTCTCACAAGCCCCCTGAAGAAGCCCTTTGCGAGGTTGCGATAAGCCCCAAATAATCTTCCAACAGCTCAAGCAACGAGTCTTCCGAATGGATCAGTCCTAGGACCCCCATTTGGAGCAGTGTTCCCCAAACATGACAACATGGCTGTGGCTCAAAAAACCGGTACCAAAATGGAACCCTGGTAAGTGGAAACATGGACCAACACCTGCTTAACCCCTCCTGTTTAATTTTGAGCCACACCCACATAGCAACCCAGTTTTCCCAATGGTCATAGGCCAACGAAGCAACAGCTAACAAGAACAAGCCCAACTCCGTTGGCCTAAGTCCTACTGAGCCACCCCTGAAGTAGAACATGGGGGCTCGTCTTTCTTGAATCTACCCGTTTTGGGGTTTTGGGGTTGGTTTAAAGGGAAACCAAAAGGAAACCAAGCATTTTACGGGTCCAAGTCCCTGTTTTGAGGCAAACCACATCTTTGATTGGTTTTAGTTCAATCGCCCCACAAACGTCGAACACTTGATCTTTAACATGTCTTTCACTTTCAATCTTTGCGTCTGTTTTCTTGGTGATCCTTTTTGGGGATAGCGCCATTTTTTCGCGGACATCACACACAAAAAATGGGCTGGGGGGTTGGGGGCGCCAAAGGACCGCGACATCCACGCCTTCACCGTTGTGATGCCCTGGGTGGCATTGGGATGGACCAGGCACGTAAACAGCGCCTGCCCGGGTTTAGCGCTTCGTCTGGGCCCCATGGCGAAAGAACAACCTCTTGCGGGATCCAGTTTTAACTTGTTTAGTCTCTTAAAAACTTGGAGGGCCCAAAATGGTGGCCTGTCTCTGTTGCCCTCTTTTCTGCTCCCGCGGTGGTTCAGTTTCTCGAAAACACGAGCAACAAGGTACCCTTTTTCTGGTCGGTTCCAAGCAGGGCTGTGGGAAATGTCCACTTCTGTGATACAACAAACAGGGCTTCCCAAAGACTAACCCCGCATAGAAAGGGGGAGTTTTTGTTTTTGTTTTTTTTATCACAGAAGTGGGGGATGAACCCCGAGTGATCCCACAACCCTTACAAGGGGCACCAACACCGCCGAAGACCTCGAAGCCGCAAAGCCGCGAAGCCGCCTGCACCATCGGCCGGATGAGATCCCCGGTATCCCTTCGGAAGGCGTCCATGTGGCGCACCGCGTTGCCCCACATGGCGATGTCCATGCCTAAGGCTTCTCTTGATCAGGTGGACACCAGTTGGTTTCCCTTTGCTCGCCTTTCTTTCTGGTTTGTCTATTGTAGTAGGGGAACCCTCCCCAAAAAAAGGGTAAATGGGCACTACTGGGGGACCTAGCTTTAGCTTTTGATTGAAAAAAGCCGCTCCCCAATGATGGTACCCTCAAAAAAGGACCACCACATCTGGTCGCGAAAAGGAACACACATCAACTTGATCTACCCCCGCGGGTTTGAGGTGGGCAACCCTGGCCACGGGGGTCTTCCCTGAGGGCATCCTTTGAAGGGTGTTCAATTTTAAACCCCAAAGGAACCAACTGAAGTATCCATGAGACATACCCAGTGGGGTTGCGCCAAATTGACCCGACTATGGGTATGGGTCAAAATGAAACCACCAGGAATCGGACCGCAGGGTTGATTCCGTGTTTCCATTTACCGGGGTTCCGTTTTGGATATTTAGAAGTGGGAAAAGCAATGTCGATGACAACAAAAGCAAAGAGGACCGTCTATATTTATCCAGACTCAAACAGCCGTGCAACGACTTGCCCTTTTGTTGCTTGAAAGAGAATCCACAGTAAACAAAAAGCACAAGGGCGAAAGCATAAGCTAAGTCACAATCAAAACCTGGTATTAAAATGGTCTACCCAGAGCCATTTAAAGAATTGAGAAGGCGGATATCCGCAGCTACTTATGGTTGGGATTGTCCCCGGGTTTTGAGTACGTGGCTCAGCTAAGTCTGGGCATTTTGCAGGGATCCTTATATTATACACCTGAACATTGCCTTGTCAATGGTGGTTTCCCTTCATTTTGGTGGAAAAAGCCATGCTTCAAATGGGCAAAATGTATTTGTTAAGGAGCCCTGTGTTTCTTCCGGGATGCAAGAGCGGCGCCTCACCTCCGCATCGTCCCACGCGCTGGTTCCCATGGAGGAGCTGAAATCCGAGCAGACGCCATGCAGCACGTCATCCAGGTGAGTGCTGCCGTAGACCGTGCCCAGCACCAACCACAGCACCTAAGGCACCCGCCAGCCCAAACCCATGACCTGAGGTCCTATGGTGACCACGGCTTGCAGACATGATGTATATATACATATATGTATATCTATAAACACAATGTGTATATATATATATACGTATGGAGAAATAAACAAATGTCCATATATATATATATATATATATGGCGCCCTTACGCCCACATCACACAAGCTACAACCACCAAGTCTCCAACATGGCGATATGGGACATCTTCTTTTGCGGTTGCCCTCACCCGACGGAAGCCACCCATTTGCCAGGGGCGGGACCAACCCCTGCCCGAACCCCTGACCCACATGGCAACAGGTAGCACCACCGAAGTGGCGGTCTCATGGGAGGTGAAAGCTCGAAACCATGCAGCGACCAAGGTGCACAAATGAAGTAAGAAGGACGGAACAAAAAAAAGAGCAAAAGCACTGAACATAAGCGAAACACAAACTCATTTCCTGAATGGATTGGCCCAACATCGGCGCACCGAAAGTGTGTGTGTGTGTGGACTGCCTGCAACTAGTGCAGGGTACATGCGTTTGCCGTCAGGAGATCGTTTTGTACTTGGACCATGCATGCCCAAATTTCTGAGGAAGAAACGACAACTGTATAATTGGACGATTTCATTCCGGCAAAATTGAGACAGCATTGTTTCCAGTTCAAACGACCGCCAAGCAGCCCGTGTGTGTGTGTGATTTGGTACCATGTGTGTTTCGTGCAACAGCAGTATGCTTCGGAAACAGCAAGTTTTACGCACAGCGTGAAACTTGTTTTATTCTAAGCAAGCTGACCACTTGGTCATTTTCAGACGGTGCAACCGCTGAACATGCTCTTCACAAAGAGTGCAATGATTATCCAGTATCTATAAGCCGGCCCCATAAGGTCGAACACATACGGGGTTCTTATCATTGTACGTTGGTAATTGAAGCGTGGTTGTTTTGAATCATAGGAAAAACCAGCTGTTGCAAACAGTCATTCTGGGAAAGGCCGGACGATGAACATGCTCTTAAGGAGAGAACCCAAGAACTTCGGGAAAGCAACGCAACCACAACGGCTATTTACAGCGTGCACATATCGGGGCCTCTAAATCCTATGGAGACA